ATGCTCAAGATCAAGTTGAAGGTTTTCAATATCTTTCCGGTGTTTGAAGTTGATGTCGTTTCGAATATATGCACCGGCACCACCGCCTTTTATTGATTCTCGGTTCCGAAAAACTGTACTATAACCCGGCTAAGACACGAAGTCCAGTAAGGAGGGATTGTCTTTCAGCCTCGTCTCGCTTAGTGTTATAACATTCAGTGGATATTCATTAATCGTAATAACGAATTCATCACACGTCGAGACCATGTTCTAGGTATTAAAGGTGCATAATCCGTAAACACTACATGTGACACTCTGTTGATTTAGCCTAACTGTTTTTTCACATTCCTCACATTTTGCGGACTTCTGTTTAGCAAGAGATCCGGTATTCACGGAGATGTCTCCGCCACGCAGAAGGGTCTGGCGGGATGTACTGGAGTTAGCGTAGTATAAGCAAGGACAATGAGTTCTTCTTGGCTTTTGGTGGATGAATCGACGGCTTCTGGGATAAATTTTAAAAAACACGCATAAGCCATTGTATTTCCGTAAGTTGACGAACATTTGCATGTCGGTCCTGCATCAGGGAGCTCAGGGAACAGTAAGACTTGATCAGACAATACAAAACATGGTTGCAAAAGTGTGTCATTAGCATTGCAAATTCTTTGCGTTGGTTTGGTCAAGTTCAAGTACTATGCGAGAAACAGACTTCCAAGGCTGTTTCTAGATAGATAGATAGATAGATAGATAGATAGATAGATAGATAGATAGATAGATAGGTAGGTAGGTAGGTAGGTAGGTAGGTAGGTAGGTAGGTAGGTAGGTAGGTAGGTAGGTAGGTAGGTAGGTAGGTAGGTAGGTAGGTAGGTAGGTAGGTAGGTAGGTAGGTAGTTTCAACATTGCTGGTGGGCATACAACAGTTACAAGAAAAATAAGAAGTACTGAAAACAAATGTACAATTAAAAATTAAAAACTGTTAAAAATATTTGTAACCGACATCTCTGTTTTCAGTTGTAGCTAAAATAGGTTGTGCAAATGTACAATTAAAAATAAAAACTGTTAAAAGTATTGGTAACCGATATCTCTGTTTTTAGATGTAGCTAAAATAGGTTCGAAATTCATTTTATCAGTATAAAATTTTGCAAGACAGCGTTTAAATTCTTTCAAGGTTTTAGCCCTGGTTTCCTTGTTCGTGAAACTGTCCCATGCGATTGATCCTGTATAGCGTGTAGATTTTCTTAGAAAATTCATTTCTGGTCTTGGAAGAATACATGATGTTTTCATTTCTTCTGCGGCCTAAATTCCTCTGTAAAAAACTCTTTAAATAACCTTTTATACATTTGAAGAAAAACTCCGCTAACGCAATTTGTACATTGTTTCCAGACTGTCCCATCCAGTTCGCGTTAAGACCCCATCAGCGCTGGTGCCCCATGGCAACCCATATATAATTCGTCCAGCCCTTGCATGGAGTTTCTCCAGGTTGTTTATGCGCGTCTTGTTGCACGATCCCACACTGTCAGACCGTATGTAACTGATGGCATTATCACTTTCGTGTAAAAGTCTTCTAACTTCCGACGGAGGAATCGCATGCGTCGGAGTAAACTTAACTTGGATGCGAATGACGTCGATATATTTGCAGCATGATCTGACCAGGATAACTTGTTATCAGACTTGTTATCGACTTATACTCCAAGGAGTCTTTCTGAGGTTGTCCACTTTATGATGTTGTTGCCAAAACGAAGAGCTTGGATAAGGCCAGTAAATGTTGGTTGCCGCTGGATTATCATTGCTTTACATTTTTCTGGGTGTGGTACCATCAAATTTCTGTCGCACCATTCCTGGAGTTCTGCTAGGACATTTTTTAGTGTGTTTGTTAGCAAATCCATCGTTTCTGCGATACAGTATATTGTTGTGTCGTCTGCATACAGGTAAGTTTCCGCAGAGCGTAGTTAGTGATTTTGAGAGGTCGTTTGTAAAGAACGAGAAAACGTGGGTCTGAGGACCGACCCTTGCAGCACTCCGTGAGTTACAATGTGTGTATCGGAGTCGCATCCGTTGATTCTCACGAACTGTCTTCTTTCTGTGAGGTAGTTTTTTAACCACAGCCGGATATCTCTCCTGATTCCAAGTTCGTTCAGCTTTTGTAGTAATATATTGTGCGACACCGTGTCGAAAGCTTTAGTGAGATTGACAAACAGTATTCCCACGAAAACCCTCCTTGCTATTGCTTCTCTCCACCTCTCTGTTAGGTGTTTTAAAAGCTGTTCTGTTGACTTTCCCTTCATATTAGCCCATTGCCTGTCTTCAAGTAAATTTTGCGTAACCACGTGATTAATGATATTACTTGCGACGCAGGATTCCATTAATTTACTCTCTTGGTATGTATGCTGAGCATAGATAGTGGTCCGTAACATGTTCTGTCTTCCTCTCGTCCTTTTTTGAACGCCTCACTGACTCTAGCTATTTTCCACTGGTCTGATGACTTGCAGGCTTTAACACTGTGTTCAAACACGCTCGTGAGAGATGGGGCAATAGACACACCTTCATACTTTAAAAGACGCGCGGATACGCCGTCTAGCCCCGTAACTTTCTTCACTAGAACCATTCGTATTCACAGCAAGAGCATCACTTCTAAAGGCAAGACTGAACCTTACATAACCCCTGAATTCAATTTCCGTTCCAGTTATAAGTTGACTTAGGAAGAATAGTGGCAGAAAGATGGAGCACATGTCCTCCGCGATAACCGTATGATAATTAATGTTAGTTTTTTTTGGAGGGCCACGCTTATATTATCTGTAGATATCAAGTGAAACCCTCATTTAGAAAAGTATCTATCAATATATCTATCGATCCATCCATCATCCCATCCGTCTATCCATCCATCCATCCATCCATCCATCTCTCTATCTCTCTATCTATCTATCTATCTATCTATCTATCTATCTATCTATCTATCTATCTATCTATCTATCTATCTATCTATCTATCTATCTATCTATCTATCTATCTATCTATCTATCTATCTATCTATCTACCTATCTACCTATCTATCTACTTATCTATCTATCTAACGTCTAGTGAGCTAAAATACGTTCGTTAAAAATACGTTTGTGCTAACCGGAAACTGTTTTAAATGTCTTATTTATATTTACCCTATTTACCCTCGGCAGTATTTATAGCACTAATGCTAGTGGGGCTGAGCAAATGCCTGAAACAAATAATCTAAATCAAACTTAAGAGGTTTAAGAATCCGAAATGGCTGGAGGCAAACCAGCTGGCTATTTACAAGTGTGGCCCAGGATTTGAACCCGGAACGACCGAGAACAAATCCAGCTAGCGGTCAGAGCGAGTTTTGAACTCGGGGCCTCCGAATTGCAAGTCCAGCGCTCTAAGACTCCTCTAACCACTCGTCCACTCTGTGGCTTCGACAGATAAACTCTCGTAGATAAACTATTAATTACTATCATGATATTGCATTCTTCTTTGCTGAATTATAGATTGCTCAATAACAATCACCTTCAGTCCATCAGTGATGAAGTTTTCGAAGCCCAGAGACAGCTTGGCATATTGTAAGTATAGTCCACTTTTCGGAAAAGATGTTATGATGACCGACCCAAGGCAGAGTAAACAAAGTAGTTACCTCGTACTGTTACAACTTTTATAGAGAAGGAAAATCCATTATGAATAATCAAGGCATAATAACCTCAATTCCGCATGTAGTTACTTCCCGGAGCAGAAAATAGATAAAAAACGAAATCGATAAAAATCGTTAGCGATCAAGTGATTTTATCGATTGATAACGGAAAACGGTGAAAAGCTATCGAGAGAAATCTTTTAGCCTGAATTTCGGACATCTCTTTGACTCTAGAGGACATGCTTTGATCGTTGTCAGAAACTCAAATGTTAAAACGAAGGCTTCAATGTTGAAACGAAGACTGGATTGTTGAAGCCATTAGTTGAGTGTTCAAGAAGCAACTTCAATCTTGAATCTTGTTTAGCGTCTTTGAACTTGTATGATGTTGAATGCAAAGAAACTGTTTTGTTCCTAAAAGTTCATATCTAAATCGTAAACATAACGGTTAAAATAAAAACTTGGATGTTGAAAATAAAACTTGATTTTTCAGGGGCACCCGACGTCAATTTTCGGAAAATATCTATTCGGAAGACGATTTGAGATCTAGAATTTTCGGAACATTTGTTGTAAAATGTCTTGCTTGCCTGCCTCTCCTATGATTTTCGAACATCTAAAAAATGGTATAATTGCTAATTTTTAACGGATTTTTACCCTAAAAAGGTCAACTAGAATTTTGGGAGCCTTTTTTCTGGCTGAAATTTTCGAAAAGGTCAGTTTCGATTCCTACAACTTTCGGATCACTGGACTCTTCAGTTAGTAAATCCGAACAGATGAAAAATTTTTAGGGGTTAAAAATATGCCTATATCTACCGTTTATATACTAAAATAGGTTTAACAATGCTATGTTTAAGTGGCTTTGAATTATATTCTCGTTGGGTGCCCCTGATTTTTGGCGGAGATTTAACGCCATACCGCGCCGGCATGGCATTTTGTGGTGGTATCATGTAAACAAATATAGAGTCATGAGAGGGAACCGGAGTGAACTCGCGCCGGCGAGAATGTCGCCCCGATGTCATGTAAACATCCCCTTAGTTTACGCTAGTACTTTGTTTAACAAGCAAAATGAAGAAAAGAAAGTCTGCTTTTAGTTTTGTAGCTGAATTGTGTTATCACAAATTTTCAGAAAGGTTTCTTTTCAACTTAAGACGTAGATGACAAGTGGCTTTTAGTGAAAATAAGGAATGCGTTCGTATAGCCACAGCAAGCAATCAATCATGCAAACATCTATTTCTGAAATACCCTTACAGAAAGGATTAAGAAGATACATGTCTGCGAACATATTCGAGGGAGCGGGAAATGGATATTCCCTTTGTACCGGACTATTAGGACTTAGCGGAAGATCCCTTCTTCTAATTTATGTACAAGATCTTACGAGCTAGTCCAAGAGAAAATAATTGGACCTGTCCAGTTACTTTCTCTTAATCCGCTCAAGTGGCTCACAAACTTGGGGAAGGTTTCTCGTCTTACAATGTATTTCAAGGACTGATTGGTCACTTGATTACTGGCGTTTCGACTGGCAGCTTCTTATATACTAACACTTACGCAATTCAAACCTTTAGATTGCTTTCAGATAATCCTATCAAGACTATTGGGCATCGGGCTTTCAGTATCCCAGATAAACCAAATGAGAATGTCTTAATGTAAGTATAAACCGATTTGTATTATTTATGAATGGTTCATAACTTTCGCCAAGTAGTAGTATTTAGTAATAGTAGTAGCAGCAAAGCTTTATTTGAAATCGGATTGAAGAGTAGCACATGAGCGCAAGCTAGCTCACAAATTTCAGACAAACGAACATTGTTTGTAAAGTGATCTATACTAGCGGTAGCTCTAAGATTATGACGATGATGTGAACTGCCGAAATACAAATTTTGAATGAAGATATGATCGTCGCATTAATGTTTATTGCAATTTTGCAAATAAACCCGCAAACATTTTCGGGACTTCAACGGGATGCGAACCCATGGCCTCTACGTTAGCGCTGCAGTGCTCCATCATTGAGCTATGAAGACCCAGCAGACCAATTTGTTGAGTTTATTTTAACCCGTGAAAGGAATGAGACATGAAGATGATGTGAGCCGCGGAAAAACAAATTTTGAAAAAAGGTATGATCGTCGCGATGAAGATAAGATCATCATCTAAAGTCTAAACTATTTTATAGTTTGGGCTCTAAAAATTTGAAAGAGGGTGTTCCATAAAAGGTGGTATTGACACGTGCTGTAAATTGTTTCTACCTCTAAGCTGATTGCTAGTTCTAGGTACGAGTGGTGCTGATATGTAGGTAGGTGTGACAGCTTGAAAGAACTTGTAATGAAAAGAAGAAGCAACAATAAGTGACAATTATGGGAACAAATAGTAGTGATAATAGATGATACCAAAGATAATAAAAACTTTTCAGTTAACTTTTCGTTCTTTGCAGCTTCATGATTCGCACTCACTTAAAAGAAGTGAGCCTCCGAGTCTTGTCTTTTCACGATTTTCATAACCTAACTTCCGTCATGTAAGTACGATTGGTATATTATCAGAACTGTTGTAGAAATTGGCCAAATACATAACAGAGGGAGTTCTGCATCTTCCTTCGCAATAGCCCCACAAAATATATAAGTATGAGGATGTATATTATAAACATATACAGTCGCTGTCATCTTATAAGGAATCACACACGTTCACTGCGCTCACTCGTTCAATTTAGGATACGTTAACAGCTTACAATTGTGCAAAACCGCACGAGTACACTTTTCATCAAGTATTCTATATAAAACTCAATTATTGGTGTCCTTGCTATTAGTTGCTTCGCTCGAGGGAAATCGGGCTTTGATATCAATAAGAAAGACTTAACTATCCATTTTTCGTTCTCTTTTGTAGAACCATGAATGATGGTAAAATTGGTACCATGAAAGTTTTGGAGTCATTTCAACGAGAGCGCTGCACTTTTCATCTGTTAGTAACTTTCTTTAATACAGTAAAACAATATTCTAGTATGCGGTTGCATTGTCGTTGACCTTCATTTACTGAGTTACTTTAGCTTCATGCATCAACTCGATGTAAACTATACTGAAGCGAGATGAAGTTAAATTTTGCCGAATCCATTTTCTCAACTCGCACTGTGAGGTATAGGTAATCTGTATTTTTGTCCCTTTTCTGCCTCATTTTCAAATACTGGTCATTCTCTGATCCGAGCTATTATAAATATCATCTGTCTTTATGTTGAAAGAGCATTGTAATACAAGTCGAACCTCTCGTAAGCAACCACCCAGAAATCGACAGAAAGCTAAGCTGTAGTGGTCGCTTCTGGAGGAGGTCGCTAACGAGAATCGAACCAAAAATGGTCTCTTCCGAAAAGAGGGGTGGACACATCTACTTTTTGCGAGAGAATTTTCTTGCAGGCAACTTCTAAGGTACGACGAGTGTTCTCCCATTTGATTCGAGGTCTTGTTATTCAGATCACAGGTATAATTTTAGACCAAATTGCACTTCACTCAGTTCCATTTATATTAACTTAGTAGGGAAACAAAAATCACGAAAAGAGTAACCGCTTTAAAAAAGCTCATCAAGGGATATCGAAACGATGGCTTGCTTGCTGATTGCACGATGCTAGCGAAAGTGAATGTTTGGAACTCTTTAGAAAGTACACGTCTTAACACCGGATGCAAATGTTTGGCCGTATTGATCCACAGAGATCCGTGTAACGTTTCATAGAGTGGGAGATTTCGCTTGCGACAGCAGGTCGCCCATGATGGTTCGACTGTATTAAATTAGTTATCTTTGAACATATATTTGAGCCAATATATCAAATAGCTTCATTTAAAAACTCGTTAACTCATTTAGCAATTTAGCAGATTTTGATGACTGCTATTTCCTTGGATATGACGTAGATATTGCTTGCAAAAACCTGAAAATTCCACAGATTGCAGCCTAAGTTTAGCAACCTCGGCTTTAAACTTGTGAACTCAATCTAGATATGTCTTCTTTCTTTAGTTCATATAGTGAAAATTGCAGTTAGTGCAAACCACCAAATAATACAAAACACGTTCGATAAATACGATGTATTAATCTTTTGAACGACCTTAATGTCAATTTGTTACATTTCTTAAACGTTTTTTTAACTGAAACATTTATATCTTTCAATTTAGCGGCTTGGGCCAAGATAGCTCTAGTTACCTTGACATTCAGGATAAGGATGTACGCAAGTCATTTAAGCTAGTGGGTTTTGCGAATACAACTCTTGGTGGCCACAAGTTACTACCATGTTCACTTGGTACTTTTGTAAATGCAAGTCGTCTAGAATGCGTCGAATGTCCTGCGGGTAAAATACATATTGTGTTTCATGATTATTATTAAGACTTGTACTTGTCCTATGGGTGATGATTAATTCAAATCACAAGCAGCATTGTTAGCATTCGAGTGCGAATTACATTATTTTATTTCTACAGGGTGTCCCAGAAGTTACGGTTCCTCTGCTGTATAAGTCTGTAATCCGCTAGTGCTATTGGACTTGATAATATGAGTAAATCTTTTAAAGAAAATTCTGGATTGTTTTTTTATCTAATTTAATATTTAATACTTGTTTTTCCATCTTTCGACTCGAATTTTCGATTTGTGTACTTTCGCGCCAATGGTGGGTGTGCGCTAGTATATTTCCATCCACAAATTTTTGTATCTTGTAGCCCAAATTGCTCGAACGCCTTCCTCTTTTTTTGTGAATATCATGAAAGATAACACAAAAACGCTCAGCTAGGTGAAAGCATAACCAGGTACTCTTCGATCTACTGCTTTGTCAGATAAAGAAATTGCTAAAACCTGGAAACTGATCCGAATCCAAAAAAATTGGGTGTGGTAAAATGGTCATCGAGAAATGAAGGTTTTGAAGACAAGAAAAAAAGAGGAAAACGAAAGTCATGAATAAAGCAGCTAAAACTAATTTTTAAGAAGGCTAGGTACAACAGAGGAACTCATCAAGGTAGTTCTTACAATAGTTATCAGCCTAAGTCTGGATGAAAATAAAGCGAAGGTTTTGTCCCTAAGTTTGAAAAAAACTAGCTCTCTCAGTCCGTCAAGCAACGTTAACGCTCAGCTCGTCTCAGATTTCTAAAGAAGCCTTAGTTTTTTTTTTTTACAGCTGCCTAATCTAAAAATGATATTTTGGGGGTCGCAATGGCTCCTGTGTACCACTGACGTGATAAGTAAAGCTCAAAATGGATCATCTGGACCTCTACTGGCGCTACATCGCGTTTCCCACACCATGCCGCAACTTCTTAACGAAATGTTGTAAAAAAGAAACAAAGAAGGCATGCTGGTTACTGAACTTCTGAATACAAGTAATCGAGAGAGTAATAAACATCTTCTAAAAATTTCATGCAAAAATAAAGTGTTGATCAAAAGTTACAGCGTAAGAAATTAGAGGAACGAACTTTTGGGACACCCAGTGTTGTAATGATACTAGAAAACTATTTAGTTAATAGTTTTTTCTTTTCAAAATTTGTTGTGATACATTGTGAGCTGAGTTATCAGTTTAAGGGCCTGTTTACATGAAGGTGAGGGACCCCAGAGAGATTATATTGTCAGGCGGGTACCCCACCTAACCGAGTTACCTCACCTACCTGGGGTCCCCCACCTCAATGTAAACAGGCCCTGAGGGTCTACTTGCCTTTGAATTGCCCGAGAACAATGTCAATAAGATTGCTGGATATTAACTGGCCTTGTTCTTTCTTTCTGGCGTTTTACTGACTTCAACAATAGGGAAGATAAGCATCACGTTTACGTCTAACGGCAAACGCGAATTTGTACCACGTGACCAAGTTTTCCAACAACAACAACATATCCTTTATTTAAACACGATAGGATTTAAAGCTCAAAGCTTGTGGGGTCGTGTAAAAGTAATTACAAATGAATATACAACTATATTAAAAATAGGGATAACATTACTTACAAAATACAGCTACAACAAAAACTCTAAAATTATACAGTAACATTCTAAAAAGATACAATGTTAAATGAATTTACATTAGTTACCTCGAATGAAATTGACTACAGCATTTAAAACATAAAATAGTTAAAAACTTTTAAAATTTTGGTATTGCTTGGGCAGCGACTGGACCGACTGTGCGCTAAAATCAAGTTGCTTAAAATAATAGTCCTTCTTTACTTTGCGATGAAAAACAGTAAACTAGCCTGTAAAATGAGTCGAGACAGCTTTCCAAAGAATAGCGCCTCTATAGCTAATAGCCCTGTTTCGAATTTAAAAAATTACCGCTGAATACAAACATTAACGACACATTCAAGCAGGGTTAGTCTCGATATAAAGTAAACTATTCAGGACTTCCGACAAGTAAGTGTTTGAAATTTGAATATACACAATAGACAGAGTAATAAACAGGTCTTTTTCTCGCTGGAATTTGTGAATATATTACTTGAGATGGAGGCTAAGCCCGTAAAAAATGCGTCTTCACTTCTTTAATTCAGCGGTCATAGCGAACTCGAAACTGGCCTATAGAGTTTTTAAGAAACTGTGAGTTAAAGCGCGGGACGATTAAGTTATTACTCCTTCTCAAGTTGTACGCAGTGCAAGGTTTATTTTTCAAGTATGAAAGAGCCGCAGGTGCTACACCTATAAACACGCTGTGGAGCAGTTAAATTAATTAATAATTTTCATTACTTGTAATTAATAATTTTAAAATAGAAGGTTAAAGTATTCCAATTCGAATGTCGGTATATTCATCAGTAGGCACATCGCGGGGCAAGTGGTATATTATTCTGGCTGCCTTACAGTCAAGTACTTTCAGGGAATGTAGATCGCGAAGGTCCCCATTAGGCCAGCCGTCCCAAACAACCAAGGCCATACAGGGCTGATGGTAATGTTATCTTGAAGTACACTTCCAATAGGGCGTTTTGCTCAAGAACGAGCTCCTTTTCAGGAGGTTCAGTTTGTTAACAAAATTATTTTTCACATCTGTAAAGTGAGGTGACCAGGAAATTTTTTCATCGATAGTAACACCCAAAAGATGAGTGTGTTTCTCTCACTCCGATCCTCTCCAATAGTCACAGAATTTAGCGGCCCGCTGTGCGGTTTTCTCATCAATAGTATAGCTTCGCACTTTGCCAAGTGAGGAGTTAAAGAGTTCTCTAGGCACCAACTATTCAGTTCCGATAAAGCTCTATTTAAAGAAGTGAGAGTGTTATCAACAGTGTCCCCAATGCAATAAACGGTGGTGTCATCCGCATACATAAAGACAGAGCCAGAGGTAACAGTACTTGGTAGGTCATTGGTGTACAAGGCGAACAACGTTGGGCCCAGTACTTCAACTTTAATTGTCGTTTACTTTTCATTATTTCAACACAAATTAGTATTTCATGCAATTTTTTATCCATAAGAATTGTTTTGAGCTGTTTTTATCTGCTCATTTTCTATTTTGAGAAATTCTCAACTTGAATCTGACGTTTGCCGTTTGCCGTATACGTGATGCTCAAACTCTCTTTTGTACCGATTCATAAAAACGCAAAAAACTGGTACTAACTTTACCAGTATCCTGCCAGCCACATTTATTGGACTCTTACTACGACCAGATGCTAGCTTTTTTTTCTTATGCCATGCAATAGTAAAGTCCGTCCACAGAAACCATTCATATTACGGGGAATTCTACGTTATTTGTAGGTCATGAAATTTAAAAAGGAACGTCGGACCAAAAACCAAGTATTTGTAACCTGGCAATTTTACCCCAAACTAACTACTTTTTGTCGGCTCTGTAGATCCATTTTGGTCATATTTTGGGACTGCAGAATTAAATTTATTTCAAGGACACTTTCACTCTGGTTACACTTTCTTATAGGAGGCTTCTATTCGGATACCATAGCGTTTGTCAATGACAGCTGCCTCAGATGTCCAAATGGAACTTTTGTTCCATACAGTAAGACGCCTGGCAAAAGCGCCCGTGAGTGCATTGCTTGTCCACAAGGTAGGGATATTTTATAGTCAAACCCAGTCAAACATAGACCACGCAGATTATATTGATAGTGGCAGGGGTATCAAATTCAAATCTGTATGCTTGCATGCTCAATGGGCAGTGAATTTCGCGCTGCAGATTCTCAGCATTCTATCAGATCAAGAGAAATCGTCTTTGATAGCTTTTGAATAAAATTCTTTATCAAATTCAAGAAAAAAAACAAGATAATTTTAACCATCTGCTGGTGATTTTACTGCTCATTGGATGCTAGTAAGAATAATAAGAATCACCAAAAGACTTCAAAATGTCAATTATCATATGCCTACAAAAGTACGAGTGTTATGATTGGCTGCTAAGCTGGCAAAAGTTTCTTGTAATGACCGGGCATTATTAGCTGGGTGTCCAAGGCATATATAATCTGTGTTTAACTTGATAGTGGACATCCATGTTATGGTCAATTGATAGCTGTGAAAAAGGGTATCTGCTGACCAGTGTCACATGTCTGTATCGCGGGCTGAAGTGTACAACTCATTGACGTGATTTCCCTGTAATGACCTCACTCTCCGTTAATAAGTTGTATATGAAATCATCATTACAATCTATGGTGGTACGCTTGACCTGGTTTGATTGTAATTAGGAATTTAAGAAGAAGGAGAATTCAAACACCAGAGAGCTCAGAAAAATTTTCCGAGCTCCAGGTGAGAATCAAACTCACGACCTACAATAGTTAGAAGATGGAATGTAAAAAGTGACTGCGTTATCCCTGTTACCCTGATCGAAGTTTCTGATGACGTCAGTGAAGTTCAGATAAAACTGGTCAGAAAATAAAGGTAGAAAGAAACGATATTCTGCTTTGGCAATGGCACTTATGCTTGGTTAAGGCAGACGAGCAAATTTTACCACTAAGCCTCGTTTGTAAGCAAACTTCTTCTCACTTTCAATTAATGAGCGTGGATATTCTTTTCAACTCTACTCTCACTGGAATTCATTTATGCAAAATTCTGTAACTTTCAAAATTTCAAAACGAGCCTTGGTGGTAAAATTTGACGTAAACATGCATAAGGACTATATATATCGGTTTTGAATTGAGAATTTATTTACACATATCCCTAGGCATGGTAATGCCGTCAATTATCGTATGTCCTTGTAATTTAAGGCGGTGAAACTTTCTTATGAAGTAGCTTTGTTGTTTTTAAACCCATTTGACAATGAAGCCTACAACTGTCAAAACCCGCAAGCTTTCAAACTTTATGTGTTTTTTAAAAAATGCAAAAAAGCCAATTATTTGCCTGATTGAAATACAATTAATTCAACTAACGGACTTTTGCTTTTTGTAGGCACAGATACTTCCACATTTGCTGGGTT